TGTTGACATGAGGTGAAAGTTGGCTTGTGTGTTACTGAGTAGTATCTCCACTGGCACTGAACACATCACTTGTCCCTAGGAGTACCATGAGTCATAGTAGTGTTTGCAGTAGCAGCATTACGTCCTATTACTTCCAGCTTTTCTTCCTGTGTGTGATACTGTTTACTGTGTTTCTGTGCACACGTGTGTTCATGAGCCGTGCTGCGTTTAAGACAGACTGCTGCCTCTGCTTCTGTGGCCATTAAAGCTACACAATGACGTGCTTTTTACGTTGCCAATATCATTTGCTTTTGCTTGACAAAAAGAAAAGATTATACAGTGCCTTGCGAAAGTATTCGGCCCCCTTGAACTTTGCGACCTTTTGCCACATTTCAGGCTTCAAACATAAAGATATAAAACTGTAATTTTTTGCGAAGAATCAACAACAAGTGGGACACAATCATGAAGTAGAACGAAATTTATTGGATATTTCAAACTTTTTTAACAAATAAAAAACTGAAAAATTGGGCGTGCAAAATTATTCAGCCCCTTTACTTTCAGTGCAGCAAACTCTCTCCAGAAGTTCAGTGAGGATCTCTGAATGATCCAATGTTGACCTAAATGACTAATGATGATAAATAGAATCCACCTGTGTGTAATCAAGTCTCCGTATAAATGCACCTGCACTGTGATAGTCTCAGAGGTCCGTTTAAAGCGCAGAGAGCATCATGAAGAACAAGGAACACACCAGGCAGGTCCGCGATACTGTTGTAGAGAACTTTACAGCTGGATTTGGATACAAAAAGATTTTCCAAGCTTTAAACATCCCAAGGAGCACTGTGCAAGCGATAATATTGAAATGGAAGGAGTATCAGACCACTGCAAATCTACCAAGACCTGGCCGTCCCTCTAAACTTTCAGCTCATACAAGGAGAAGACTGATCAGAGATGCAGCCAAGAGGCCCATGATCACTCTGGATGAACTGCAGAGATCTACAGCTGAGGTGGGAGACTCTGTCCATAGGACAACAATCAGTCGTATACTGCACAAATCTGGCCTTTATGGAAGAGTGGCAAGAAGAAAGCCATTTCTTAAAGATATCCATAAAAAGTGTTGTTTAAAGTTTGCCACAAGCCACCTGGGAGACACACCAAACATGTGGAAGAAGGTGCTCTGGTCAGATGAAACCAAAATCGAACTTTTTGGCAACAATGCAAAACGTTGTGTTTGGCGTAAAAGCAACACAGCTCATCACCCTGAACACACCATCCCCATTGTCAAACATGGTGGTGGCAGCATCATGGTTTGGGCCTGCTTTTCTTCAGCAGGGACCGGGAAGATGGTTAAAATTGATGGGAAGATGGATGGAGCCAAATACAGGACCATTTTGGAAGGAAACCTGATGGAGTCTGCAAAAGACCTGAGACTGGGACGGAGATTTGTCTTCCAACAAGACAATGATCCAAAACATAAAGCAAAATCTACAATGGAATGGTTCACAAATAAACATATCCAGGTGTTAGAATGGCCAAGTCAAAGTCCAGACCTGAATCCAATTGAGAATCTGTGGAAAGAACTGAAAACTGCTGTTCACAAACGCTCTCTATCCAACCTCACTGAGCTCGAGCTGTTTTGCAAGGAGGAATGGGCAAAAATTTCCGTCTCTCGATGTGCAAAACTGATAGAGACATACCCCAAGTGACTTACAGCTGTAATCGCAGCAAAAGGTGGCGCTACAAAGTATTAACTTAAGGGGGCTGAATAATTTTGCACGCCCAATTTTTCAGTTTTTTATTTGTTAAAAAAGTTTGACATATCCAATAAATTTCGTTCCACTTCATGATTGTGTCCCACTTGTTGTTGATTCTTCACAAAAAATTACAGTTTTATATCTTTATGTTTGAAGCCTGAAATGTGGCAAAAGGTCGCAAAGTTCAAGGGGGCCGAATACTTTCGCAAGGCACTGTATGTACATAAACTACAAAGCTAAAAATTGAGGTGATACAACAACATAAGAGAGCAGGAGAGTCAGATGTTCTCTGTCTAAACACCACAGAGAGAGAGTTACAGCTGTCTCTGTAAGGAAAGCTGCACTCAGCTCGTTGATCATTAAAAATATTTTTAAGACCAGTGAGCTGGTAATTCAACATAAACCTTAAGTCACTGCATTAGATTTTTTACACAGCCAGTCAATCAGAGACGAGACCTTTCTGCCGCTGTGTTGTTTTCTATGTAATACAGGACACAGATGATTCACACATCATTATTTTCAATTTTAATTTAGTTTTTACATCCCAACTTTTTCTAATTTGGGGGTTACACATAAACTATAAATACCTAGTAGTGGTAGTAGTAGTAGGTTATCAGTTGCAGCAGCAGTAGTATTATAATGGTAGCAATAGAAGAAGTATGGTTAGTATCATTAGCATTAATAGTAGCATCAGTAGCAATAGTAGTAACAGCATCAGTATTTGGTGGTGGAAAGTAATGAAGTGTATCTTCTCAACTACCAAAGCACAGTAATTCTGTTTCATGCTACTTTATGCAGTACTTCACTACATTTCAGAGGGAATACTGTTCCTTGTTCTCTAATACATTTATATCAGAGTTTGTTATTGTGCCACTTCACATTATCAAGACAAAGACAGTATAAATAAATGATGATGTAGTATAACAGATTCCACGTTTCAGTAGTACTCTGTTTGTACAGTAAATCAGTAAAACAAAGCCCCAGTTTAACCAGCTGCAACTTTAAAGTGATGTTTACACATTAAAGCATGAATAATTATTAATCCATTATTATTCCGATATTCAATTTATATAGTGAGTACTTTTGGCATTTTATGTGTGTTTTGATTTTAATAGTTGTCAACGTTTACTTAAAAGGTCTGAGTACTTCTTCCAGCACTGGTATTAGTAATACTAGTACAATACCAGTAGTAATAGCACCAACAGAAGCAATAAAATATCTGTGGTTGTAGTTTTACCAGGAATAGAAGCAGTAACATGACAGTAGTAGTTAAAACACTACTTCAGGCACCACTTGAAGTCATAGTAGTGGTGGTGGTGACAGATAACCAGTTTCAGCTTTGAACAGTGTTAATCTTGTTGCTTTGCTGACTCTTTCCTGTCCTGTCTGAGGAACTAAATGAACTCACTCTGCACCTCTGTGAACCGACCGCACTAATGAAGCCACACACTGCAGACAGATTTCATTTCCTTGCTCGTTTCATGCAGTAAACTGTGATGGGGACTTTCCACCCAGACCTTGTTATTGTGCGTGTAGTGGTCTTACTGGAGCTGCAGCCAGCATGTTAGCACTGTTTTTCCACACAGGATGGCCATAAATCACCAAAATACCATCCTGAAACCCAGCATACATATTTTTATAATTGGTATGTGCTGCATGTGTCATGAGGAAAATGGTTACATGCGCCTCTTTTACATTTTATGACAACCAGAAGAGAAACGAGTTATCTTACCACCTTTGACAAGTACTGAGCTCCTTTCTAGCCATGTGTACTTTGTCTATTACTCAGCTGGGAGATGGTGTTAGCGTTAGCATTTGATTTTTCTGTTGAGATTCTACAGTTGGAAATGTTAATTAGGGAAGGAAAAGAAGTGACACAGCTAAACATCAACTTGGCCAAGACAGTTTGTGTCCAGAGAACAGATGTGCTCAGCTCTTTTTCAGTCTGACAGCTTTCAGTTACTGAGTCAGAAAGAGGGATTTTCCAACCACAGGGAAACGGTGAAATTCAAAATTATGTACAGTGCAGTGTCACCCAGGCTCGATGTGCCTGTACGCTACTGTTTGTGTGTGTGTTTGTACCTGTGTGGAGGTGGGTTTAAGCCCTGAATCAGCACGTTGTTACTGTAAACACCTGCTGCCTCCTACTGCACACACTGCCTGCTGGCACCTGGGACTGCGTGTGTGTGTGTGTCTTCCTTGTCCTCATTCCCGGGGGCGGGGGGGCGTGTCCTCTCAGCTCAAGAGTGAGTTAATTTGTTTGTATGGGTTTTTATGGACGCAGGGATCTGTGTGTTTGTGCTTCTTCTCTTGGTACATGTCAGGAATCATTGTCCCTCTCTTTGCTAAAATCTCCATTCAGTGAAGACATTAACTACACTGACTTTTATTTGGTGCACTTTGAGGGCCATAGAGCTGGAATCCAATTAACATACTTGGCAATAAAGTTTATGATTGATTGATTGGCATAAGGCAGCCCGAGTGCAGCCCGACTTTTCAGTGATTTACTACATCATGTCATTCATGTTAATAATTTTGGGTTTGGCAGGTAGTCACATATTACATTGCTGGCTCTGGGGATTGCAGTGTCATATCACACCAGCTATGTGTTGGATTTGTGTGCAGTAGAGGCGGCAGTTCACGGCTCCCAGAGTCACAATAACTTTGATCCTGATGACTTTTCCTCTAGTGCCATCATGAGGTTCAGATGTCGCTGTCAAATACCTGCCAACCTAATGACAGCCTCACAGAGGCACTAACATCCTGTTGGTTTTGTTTCTGTATCCAATGCTGTTGTGGCATTTCTTTTCCTTTATCTTTGTTACTTTAAAGTGACACCTGCACCCTAACTTCAGGTCACACACTGTGTTCACAAAGACAAAGTTTTCCATCCCTGTGCTCTCGGATTCCTGTTCCTGTGGGAGAGAGGCACCAGGACAGACGGAGGAGGAGACAGGGGCTTGTTATGCTACACTCATTCGCTGTGGTGAGCTTTGAGTGGCCCAGAGTCATGAGGCAGAAGCCTTTCTCTCTCTCCCTGCTCAGCTTCCTTCACATAAACACTCCCCTTTTCATGCTCCTACTTCTCCATCTTTGTCCACTCTTTCTTTCCCTCTGTCTCTACTGTTGCAGTGTGGAAACAATAAAATTAGCTCAGTTTCCTTTTTAGGTGCTGGATAGATGCACCCGCCTTCCTCCTTTCCCTTTATTCTTCCCAATCTTTTTTATTTTATTTTTGTCTCTATTTCTCTCGTGGTTGTTTGCTAACACTCTAGTCCCTTGGCTCTCCGTCTTTGTCTCATACTGTATATGGTCATGTAGGCTCAGCCCTGCTGTTTCTCTACAAACTGACACTCTCCCTCTGTGGGACGGTGGTTTAGGGGAACAAGTTTCTGATGCTGCAGTTGAATTCAAAGGACTTAGGCATTTTTGGCCAAAGGTATGTAGACACTTGAACATTCCAATGATATGTAATTGTTAGTAGGGGCATGATGATACACAACACTATTTTTAAGAAATCTTCAATGATGAAATATATGACTGGAAAAAGTCTTTTATTTGACTGAAAGTCAAAATGCAAAACAATGCAGGTGCATTTTGAAATGCTTTAACTAATCATCTTGTAATAAAGGGGCGGCACAACAACATGGTGGATAGCGCCTTGTTTGAGCCCGGGCCGACCCAGGGCCTTTCTGTGCAAGGTCTGCGTGTTCTCCCTGTGCCTGTGTGGGTTCTCTCCGGGTGCTTACTCTCACAGTCCAGAGACTGTTGGATCTAAATTGCCCCTAGGAGTCTGTGGTTGTCTCCAAGCGTAAGCCCTTATTTTATTCTGTACAGCACTATTTGGCTGAAACCTTGACTTTTGCAGCTAATGTGTCCAGAGGTTTAGATTTCTTAGCAACAATAAGTTATCTGTTGTGTGGGTCAAGCTAACAGAAATGTGAACTTTGTAGTGGTGAGGTCGGAGTGGGAGGTTAACACCTAAGGTTTGTTTTAGCCTGTCCAGCTAATATGCCTGACATGAATCATGTTGCCAGAAACGGTCATGTGCTATAAAATCTTCTTTGACAGTTTGTCTCACTTCACTGCAGGAAAGAGAAAAACATGAAGTTGAGGCACAGTTTTTTTTTTTTTTAAAAACAAGCTTGCTACTGTTTGCCAGCATTTAACTTGTGGTGGCCTTCCCCACGTCAGCTCCTCACCATCCTGACTGACTGACCGACTGGGTGACTGCCTGTCTCACTGTGTTGATTGGATGGAGATTGCTAACACACAGCTATTACTGAGATCTCTAACACATTCATTTCACTTTGACTCCTTGTTGCTAATGAAAACCCAATTAAGTCAAGAAGACGGCTGGTAGGTGCGTGTGTGTCACCGTGACAAGTTAGACATCCCTCTATTAATATCATGTTTCAGTCTGTCTCAATCTCTGTTTTCTCCTTGTGAACTGAAGCATTTGCCAGTTTCTCTTTCTCTCTGCAGGGCAGTCAGATCCCCTACCAGAGTTGCTAATTATTACCATTTGTCTTGCCTTCACACTACCAGAAACACACACAGACACACTCTGACACTGCTGACACTGACAGTGATGATGTCTGTGCCTGCAGTCGGTTTCTTGATCCAAGCCAGTTAGTTGCATGTTTGTATGTTTAAGCAGGACTTGTCATGTGAGATGTGCAAACAGTTTAGTGTTAGTCAGGTCGGTTTCAGACATCTCTCACTGCTTGAGAGATTGTGCAATTTTTTTATTTATTTTTTTACCTAGTCATCCTCCAGTTAGAGAAATCCTAAAATTGTTCGGCAGCTCATCAGTCATCGTCTGCAGTGTCAGTTACAGTTGTCACTGTGTAAGAAAACACATTTAGGTTGTATAAAGGATGCAAAGGTCCTCCTCAGTGAGAGTCCAGGAGCTGGAGAGAGCAGCATGCAGCCAACTGTCAGTCGGTGCCCACACGGCTGACATCAAAGCCTTCTGTGAGCCCTAAAGTCTTACACATGCAGCAGTAACATCCAAAATGACCACCTGTGCATTTATAAACCGACCTTGTATTTCTAGAGAGAAGCTGATCCCTTTTGAATGCGAGTCAGTTGGAGCCAGGAAGTTTTTTTGGAGCCAGTTTCGAGCAGCTGTCAGTGATACTTTAAAGTGATTTTCCAAAAATGTTCTGGCCCTCTTTTCTGAAAACTTTGTTGGAAATATGCTGAACTCCTCCCACCAGGTATTCCCCGGAGGCTAAAACACAATGCCAAGAAGCATTTATAAAAGAGCTGTTGGATTCCACTGTGCTCTGTGCAGCATAGCGATCTGCTGATGGTACCTGACGTTGGCTTGACCTATCACCTCCCTCTGGGAGTCTGGGATCAGCCCTCGGGGTCAGCAGGTTTTGAGGCGGTTCGTCACACTGTGAAAGGTGCATTAAGTGCGTCTGCAATATTTGCAGCTCCAGATTTATGCAAGCACACTCACACGCACATGCACCCAGACTGCACCATCTGGTCCTGGTTGAGCGGAGAGCGTGACTAAGCATCATGTGGTGCATCAGACAGCTTTCAGCTTTTGACTGCTTTGTCTTTTAATGGCTTATCTTGCAGCTTTCTTTCTGGATTATACACTGTACATTTCAGTGCAGTCATTTGTTTCCATTAATTCCATCTGAAAATTGTTAGCAGTTCTTTCATATGCAGATAAAATACAGATGGAAATAAACTACATGTCTTGTGCAGCATTCCATGTGCTTTTTGGCCTTAGATGTCTTTATTATCTTTAAATAAACAGTGTTTGCTACTTTTTTAATAAAAGAATATGGAAAGGAAATGTCTCTTTCTGTGTGTGTCTCTGGCAGGTGATATCACACAAAAGGGCTATGAGAAGAAGCGATCCAAGCTGATTGGAGCCTACTTCCCTCAAGTACCAGGTAAAACAGACTTTTCTTGTAATATGTTATCAAAGTGACTCATACAGATATAAAATAATATATAGACAATATTAGAAAATAAGAATAAATTGCTCTAACACCATCATTAGCATGTGTCACTTACAGTAATTATCAGAGTTTTGTTTTTTCCTACATGGATGAAAAATCTCTGGTCACGAAAAGTAGAATCAAGGCGACGCTTGACAAAACTCGAATTGTGACGCACTGTTGGGGTTTGATTTTCTGCAGAGTTGGACGATACGATTAGATTCTGATCTTAGTGCTTTAATAAATCATCAGCTGTTATTTAATGCAGCAAAGATTTATGTTAACCTAAGCGTCCATTCTGCTGCAAAACCTGTTGAGGAGAGCAGCTAACACCCTGTATCAGACTGACTGCTGAGGATGGGACTGAGCGTCACTGGAGACCAGCAATCACGCTGGCACTACCAAAGCTATTACTGGAATACTGTGTGTGTGTGTGTGTGTGTGTGTGTGTGTGTTGTTGTTAGGGTGGGGGCCTGTCAGGAAGTGCATTATGGGGTGGAATGAAGGGTGTGGGATGAAGAAAATGTGTGGTGTTCGCATCCAGGCCCAGTGGGGATTCGTCCATAGTTCACTATGGGGAACTGGAAGACACACACTCCTCTGTGTACACACACACACACACACACACACACACACACACACACACACACACACACACACAATCCATTTCATTCCTATGCACCAGTGACACACATTTGGGCATATGAATGTATACAATAGCCCCGTGTCTCATTTTCAAGCCCTCTCTCACACACTTCCAACATATTACTCCCTTTATGTGTCAGACACGTGCACATACACATGCTAATGACACAGAGGTTTGTTGTAGCTGTCACTGAATTGAATTCTATGCCTGATAGTACTATCAGTTCCACTCAGACCCACATCCAACCCAGGTGGCAACCACTGAGAAATGGAGCCAGTGTAGAAGTGTTTTTGGATTAGCCAGAGTTGGGCAGAGTAAAGCTGTGTTCAGGCTGAGTTTCAAAGATGTGAAGAAGTGCAGCCCTCCCTTCATCTATATGGAGGATTGCATTCATCGCAGCCAGCACCAGCAAACCAACACCGCCTGCCTTCCTGTGTTTGCAGGTGTGTGGGACAGTGGCAGTGCAGGGGGCAGGGCTAGCTTCCCTCCCCTCCACAGCAGAGGAGCTAGAAGCATCCATACTTTCAGGTTCGGTAGCAGTAGGTTTGGTGACGGCACCGAAGATTGATACGCGATATTTTAGCCTGGTCTTCCTTCTGCACTTGATGGCTCATTCGTGTCTGCTTTGAATCAAAGCCTTTGATGTTGTACTGAATGCATGTCTCCAGCTCAGGTTACTGTCAGTCAGACTTGATCTCACCTTAGCTGTTAGCATGGATAAGCCACACCTTTAATAAGGCCATGAGAGAGCATCAGTCATGGCACAGGAAAGTGTAATAAGACGGTGCCTTTCTTTCTGGGGGAGGGAGGTTGCATTGAATGGCAGGGGAAACACTGAGTTATTTACCTTTTGCCAAAGTTGTGGCTGGGCTTCCCCCATTCTCTAACTGACAAGATGTTTCTTTTGCTACACGGAAATAAACTCAGGTTCATTATTCGGTCCCTGTGCCAGGAACCTCAATAGACTGGTTGGTTTATTACAGCTTTGCACGTTTCCTGAGGTTATAGCATTTAGCTAAATGGATTGTCTAATGTCATGCTTTGACTTTAACTATGTACATGCAACTTAAAGCTAATGACATCTGCCTTATAACCTTAAAATAGCAGTTTTTGTTATACACCTATGCTCAGCCAATGCAATCAATCTCATGCTTTCTGTATACTGTACTTTTTTCATGTTATGAAATTAATCCACTAGATTTTACAAGAAACAAGCACAGACTTCCTCGTCAAAGCCATGTCTCTTTCTGGAGTAAGGCAGCCCCGTCTCTTTTATATGTTCAGTCTGTGTGTCTGTCTGGTGTCTTTATGTGAAAAACACATGCAGCCTCATTTTGAAGTAGCTGCATTTAAAAAACACAGGCTGGTGGAAGCTTCTCCAAAGCTTCAGGAGAGCATCTGCACTCGTCACCAAGAAATGAAGAAGTTGTTCTGCCACACTGATCAGCAATGTATCTGCTACCTCTGCTCCGAGGACGGCCATAAAGACCACGACACAGTCTCAACTACAGCAGAAAGGGCTGAGAAGCAGAAAGAACTTGGCATGGTTGTGCAAAAAGTCCAGCAGAGAATCCAGGACAAAGAGAAAAATGTGAATGTTTTTAAAGAGGAGGAAGATGCTATTAATCAGTCTGCTGACAATACACTGAGAAATATTGACAACATCTTAGCCAAACTGATATGTATCATGGAGAAACGAGTCTCTGATGTGAAGGAGAAGATCAAATCTCGGCAGAAGACTGAAGCGGGTTGGTTCAGAAGGGTTTGGGAGAAGATGGAGCGGGAGCTTGCCGAGCTGAGGATCAAGGATGCCGAGCTGTTGAAGCTCTCACACACAGAGGATCCCACTCTCTTTCTGTTAACTTATCTCTGTGTCACGTCTCACTGACTCTAAAGACCCACCCAGTATCAAAGTCCGCCACCGGCAGAACTTTCAGAGGCTCACAGTGGCTATGTCAGATACCAAAGAGAAAGTGCAGGAGGTTCTCGATGAAGAATATTTAAAGGTCTTAACGGTCATGTCCGAAGCAGACATTTTTGCATCAAGTTCACAAGCAGAGCCCAAGACCAGGGTTGACTTCTTGCGTCATGCATGCCAAATCACACTGGATCCAAGCACTGCGAACACACACCTGTCACTGTCTAAGGAGAACAGAAAGGCCACATATATGCAAGATGAACAGATATATTCTCCCCATCCAGACAGGTTTGAATTTTCCTGGCAGGTGATGAGCAGAGAGAGTCTGACTGGACGCTGTTACTGGGAAGTGGAGAGGAGAGGGAAAGCAGTTTTAATAGCTGTCATGTACAAGGATATCGGCAGAGCCGGGCGCTTCAGTGAGTGCGTGTTTGGACACAATGAGTACTCCTGGGCGTTAGACTGTTACAAAAGCAGCTACGAATTCAAGCATAACAACATAAAATTCCCCATCTCTGGTCCTCAGTCCTCCAGAGTGGGGGTGTACCTGGATCACAAAGCCAGGAAGCTGTTCTTCTACAGCGTCTCTGAAACCATGACTCTCCTCCACAGAGTCCAGACCAAGTTCACTAAGCCTCTCTATGCTGGGTTTTGGCTTTCAGATGGATCCACTGCTGAGGTGTGCAAGTTTAAGTAGACCGAGATATTGTGGAGGACTTGGGATATGAAGTGCTACTGAGATCTTCTGCCAGTCAAACATTGAGCAGCACTGTGGTAACTTTATTACAGCGTATGAAAAGTAAACTGTGCAGTGTCCGAGTACTGCTAGCATTAGCAAGGTAAACTATGTTTTTATGCACTTTTTCTTTTGTCTATAAAACTTTACTACTCATTTTAACTCATCATCACAACCACTCAGAGAAACATGTGGAAGAAAAAGGACATCTGTCTGTCAGTTATATGTCCCTGTCACTTTCTGTCTAGTGGTTTTATAGCATCTGAATGGGTGTGTATTGATTTTACAGTTCTGTTATTTCTGGGAAATTTTCAAGACCGTACGTTTCCATGAAAGTTGCAGTGGTGGAAGGTAACTAAGTACATTTACTCAAGTACCTCACTTGAGTACAGTTTTGAGGTTTCTGTACTTGAGTGTTTTCATTTTCTGGTACTTCATACTTTGACTTCACTACATTTTAGAGGCAAACGTATGTTTTACTTCACTAGATTTACTTGATAACTTTAGTTACTTTTCTGAATCAGATTAATATTAATCATCTGACTGTGATCCCTGGGGGGAAATTCTCAAAATACCCAACAATCGTTAAAATGAGCTCCACCTTTTCCAGTTGCATCTTTAAATCTGATGTTCACAATAATTCATCAATAATCTAATAATCTGACGTTAACGTAAAAGGTTCTATTATGAGTACTTTTACTTACGGTTCTTTGAGTATATTTTGATGCCAGTACTTTTCTACTTAAGTAACTTTTACTTTTTTGTACTTTTGCTTAAGTTTAAATGCAGGACTTTTACTTGTAACAGAGTATTTTAACACTGTGGTGTTGCTGCTTTTACTTAAGTAAACAATTTGAGTACCTCTTCCACCACTGGTAAATTGAAATGAATTATGTGGTATTGTCCCAGTTGAACTGTTTCTGTTTTAGTACCAAATGACAAGACTTTGTACCATTAAATTGTTTGAAAGTATCTGTCAGTTACTTGGAAACCTTGGACCTATAAAAATAAAGCCTTGCAAGTGCATTCTTCCACTGTTACTGTAATCGCAGGGTGTTAACCGCTACTCATCCTTCAGTAAAGCCTGCTTCTTCATGCCACACGCTGGCTAAGTCAGGATCTGTGAAACCTCTGCACAGATGCTGAATACAGGTTCATCATTATCTAACAGGAAAGAGGAAAGAAAATCAAACTGTAGCGGGTTTCACAGCACGTCTGTCATTACTGAAGTATTGCCAACAGTGACAATAGAGTCAAGACGTGGACACTCCTCTTGTCTGCTGTATATACAACTTTTCTTAGCTATGAGTGTGTTTATGTAACAATAGCAGGAAAATCTCCTGAGCGCACACTGTACATTTATTTAACTTGGCTGTGACAGGCCTGTCGAGGCGGTTGGAAATTCAGCTGAATTTATTTGCGAGGATTAGAGTCACACAGAGTTACAATAATGTGTAAAAGTAATGGTTGGACTCGCACTGCAGTGCAGTGGAAGCAAACAGGTTGAGATGCCGGCATTTATCTCTGTGTTTAAAGAATGGTTTCACTCCCACTCTGTGAAAACAACCAGTCAGACGGACGGATGAGAGCGCATTCAGTCCAACCACACCTTGGACACAGCAACAGTGTCTGCTTTACACTCAGTTGCCACTTTATTAGGTAAACCAAGCTAAAATGAAGCCAGTCTAATCCAACAGGGGAAGAAGTTCATCCATCCATTATCTATACTGCTTATCCTGAGGAGGGTCACGGAGGCTGGAGCCAATCCCAGCTGACACTGGGCGAGAGGCGGGGTCCACCCTGGACAGGTCATCAGTCTATCACAGGGCTGGGTGAAGTTCATTTTGTGTTCAAACTGTTTTATTTAGCCTACACTCACAGATGAAATAAAGGCAGGCACAACCAGGGTGGACAAAATAATAGAAATGCCTGTCAGGAGCACCACAAACTGCAGCTTCCAGATTGAGCAAAGGACGTGTTGTGCTTGTGCTGTTTTTAAATAGTGAGTAAAACGTGTCTGCTGTTTGACCACAAGAGAACATTAACCTGCTCTGTCAGGTTTTCCCATTGTAAATCTCACCTCAAAGGTGCCAGGACCACATCTTTAGAAGAGGATCCAGCTGGTGAAACCCAGACCAGCCGCTCTCTAATGCCGTTTATAGACTTCATTCATTTCTCATTCAGACCAGGCTGTGAGCCAAGGTTTTTAATCAGTTGTTTGTGCCTTTGTTTGTTTTTCTTCACTGTCTTCAAGTGAGAGCCGCTACATGGGAGATAACATGTTGTCTCATGTTTTCAGAATGATATTTACAATGTTGAGAAAGTTTTGATTCTTTCTCTTCCATTCATACACTAATGCATTTATGAGGAAATGCCCCATTCTGTACATTTTTCATCTGATTGAATGTGAAGATAAATGTTTTATGAAGAACTGCTCAAACCTGACTATTCTTTCTGAATCTACTGTATATTTGTGGTGTTATTTTGTGCTGCTCTCCCCCTCTGAGTCGCTGTTAGTACGTGTCAGGGTGCCCTCTCCATCTGTCTGTTCTTTATTGGGTTTAGTGTCTATCTGCTGGCTGTGGTTGACAGGAATGGAATGAATGAGAGGCCTTCATTGATTTCCTTTAAGGTTCCACCGTGTGTCCGTGCGCGAAGTCTCATCGCATCTTTGTCAAGTAGTGTTTGGAGTCTTTGTTGTGTAGAGACGGATGGGGCATCGCTGGGGATTTAACATAATGTCAGACAGATGAGTTATGTGTTGAACATTCTGTTGTTACTTCCTTGTATTTTCCCAGCACTCACTGTATGGGAACAGTATGCTGCACACCCAGAACGGCAGGCCCAGCACAGTTACTGTCAGGTTGTGTCAATCATGCATATGCCGCTTCACACATGGAGTGTACATGTTTGTGAGATTATGAGTCATCTTGTGCATATTCTAGACCAGAACAGTCAGAGGGTGGTCCAATAAGGTGGAGATGGAAAAATAAAGGGGTGTTTGACTGGTCAGCTCAGTGTCTAGTACCTGCTGCTGTGGTGGGGTTTTCAGTTGCTGCTGTTGACAGGCCTAGAGGTTGGAGGAACACAGGTACTGATGCCTGGTTAACATTGAAGGGCTGGTTGAACAAAGCGATCTTGTCACTGTTACGTCAGAAACCCTGATGAAGCTACAGTAGCTTGGCTTGTGACGTTCTGGTGTAGATCACAAACATGAAATCATTGCACCCCTAGGTTGGACCTCTTCTGTTGCTGGTATTTTGAATGCATCTACCTTTTTAGTGGACTTATTCATCACATTAATGGCATATTTCTCTGGTTTAACATTGCAGTTTGTAAAATAGAAACAGCCTGGTTTTGCTGCACATCTCCTGCACAAGCGACAAATCTGCCTTAAATCCCTTTGGAATGTGTCTGTACCTAATAGATAAAATGATAAATAGACAAAGCAAAAAGAAGCTGCATAAAGGGAAAGGAGAGAAAAAGCAGCACAAGCAGAATGATCGGGGGAGGGGGGAACTCCCCAGAGGAAAAAGGAAGTGAGGTATTTCCTACACCTGTCGTACTGTATATTCCTGCGCTGGCTGGGACTTGTTATATGGTCGGCTAATCAACTTTTAGCTTCTCTCCTGAGCAGCGGCGAAGCTCTGAGGTGTGCCGTGCTCTAATGAAGACAGACGAGGGTGGAAGCGTGAAGCTGAGCCGGATGCTCATAGATCAGCTGCTGTGGAGCAGCCGCTGCTGTCTGTAGCAGGGCGGTTATTAATGTTCAGACTTATTGATCGGCGGGTTGTGTGTGTGTGTGTGTGTGTTTGATCCAAAAAAATCTGTTTTAGATATTTACAATTAGTTATTCATGCATTTCTTAACAATTGTATTTATTAACATTTATTGTTTGTGTTTTTTGTGTTCTTCTCTGTGGGTTTTTTTTTGCCTCATGGAGATAAATAAAACTGAATAAAACCAACAGTTTTCATGTGTACACATTTCTTATGTTTTTAAACTTTAAAAATCTTTTACTTGATATATTTATATTTGTTACACTGCAACAAAGTTTACTTATAGTTTCATGGCTGTTTCCAGTCACTGACAGAATGTGTTGTGAAATAATTACTGTTGTTTCCCCTGCAAACTGAATTTCCATGAAGGAAGTGTGATTTTGGGGACGAGGTGTGATTCTCCCAGATGTGGTGTGTGCATGTGTTTTCTGGCAGGTTGCCATGATTTTTGCAGTGTCACGCTGTGTGGCTTTGCTTGTACTACTCTATGTCATGAATCAGGTATCTTCAAACTCTCACACTCTGCCACAAAGCTGAGAAAACGGAGCCCTTTTTTTTTTATTTTGGCAAAATGGTGCCATTGAAAGTGCACCGCTGTAGCTGATAGAGGCTTCTGTTTGCGGTGTACCCATGACTGTACAGACAGCTGTCAATGGATTACTTAAATACTAAACTCATCTTAAAAAATATGTTTCTCAGGCAAGTTCTGGTCTTATCTGTCTTACATACTGTATTTATACTTATTAAACAAATATCACTCTGAATCTACAAATATGTGCATCATGTCTTTGTTCCAAAATTTGACAAAAATCATGAGTGAAGTGCAAAGTGTTTTTAAAGTACCTTAAAAGTCTCCATGTGCTACACCTCTGCTACTGCACCTGTTGACAGGGTTGATAAATGGGCCAAATCTGAACTTCAGCATCTTCCTGTTGGTTTCAGAGCACCAGTAGAGTATAGTACATGAAAAAAACACAAAATATACAAAAGGACAGTGTTTGTAGGGTAGTACTGTGGAACAGATTTTAGTTTGGAAACATGGATGTTCATTTAAATCTGAACTTTATGTTTCAGGAATGGATCCGTCCACGGGCCAGGAGAGAAGAACACCCGTCACCCCGTCCTCGTCCTCCCGCTACAACCGCCGGCGGTCCTCTGGATCCAGAGACGAGCGCTACAGATCAGGTGGGAGGCAGGCCTGTCTGACGCTGCCACATTTCATAGCAGCGTCAGACACCTTCTGTTTTGCTCCCGGTTTTTCCCTCAGTCACACCAGACACAGGAGTGATATTACCAGTGGTGTGTTGTCTGATCTACTGGTACAGAAATAGTCACTAATGTGTCTGTTAATTAGCTTCAGTACTCACCTCATTAGCAAAGTGGGTTGTGTGTGACGGGTCTCATCACAGGTTTTAAATGTTTTCCACCAGTTCTTCCAGTAAATGGATGGTGTCATGAAAATTTGATCTCATTGTTACATGTCTGCCTTTATAGCTAATGCTCTTCAGTGGTTTATGCTTCATGGAGTTCACACTGATATCACCCAGGTGTTATATGTAAAGAAGTACGTAAACATAGAAATACTTTGTGTAGTAGATAGTTTAAAGGGGCACTCCACCAATTTTACACATCAAAAGCAGTTGACCTGCTTTGGCTCTGATCGTTCTGGTTTTAATCGGTCTCTTGTGAAACTTGAGAAAGTGGGACATTAAATTTCTGCAGTGCTTCTTTAACTGATGATCTCTGGTAATCACTGCCAGGTGGTGACAGGTCAGCAGCACGGTTTAATGTGTCATGAGGCGTCTATACCTGGATAATGGTGGAAAACAGCCTCTCTGCTTTTTCGAGACTGAACAAGAATGATGACGTGATGACATGTCATTATGTGAATTTAGACAGTGAACTGGCCTCCACCAGTGGCAGACTGAGAGCCACTGTGACAAAAATATTTTCCCCCAACAAAAGTTTTTTCTTCATAGTTTGCACCAAAACGTTGGCTTAATTTTACACAAATCTTCTGCAGGCAATGATGTAAGTACAAAATTCTTGTAGTAACAAATATAATCAATAATGGGAAGGTCAAACACTAATGGTAGCCCTCTAATAAAATGTTTATTAAAAAGGTTTCACTATAGATAACCTTTTATTTCATGTAGCGCAACACAAAGCACACACTGGTACAGAGAGCGGCCATGTTTGCATTTGTCTTTCGTGGCATTATCTTGAGATCAAGAAAACAAAGCATGTTTCCTTGTGATAATGGGTTGATTTATCTCTTTATCTTGACAAAACAAAACAGATATTGACTGTCCTTGATTGGCTTTCTGTGTTTGGGGAGGTTGACACTGAACCCCTGGCAGTGCAGGTTTTGCGACTTGTGCCCTGGTTGATTTCCTCAGTCCGTCTGCAGAGCCAGCTGCAGCGAGTCCAATGTTTGGCACAGAGCGGTGGAAAATCCTTTTCACAAATTAGTCACAGCTTTTGCAACATGTGTTGTTTAGTTTAGGTCCATCTGATGTCAAAAACTGTAGAGATGAATATGAGTTTAACTAAGGGTTGATCCTTGTCAGTGGCATCGCATCCAAAATGACCCTGTAGGAATTTGTTCTAGTCACTTTGAGAGGCAGCCTGATAAGAAACAAAAGTTTGAATCCTTGGAGCAGTTGGGAAAACTAGGGTTGTTTTTATTGTTAGATTCCTGAAGCAGAAAGATTTGAGTTTGTTCTGACAGAAAATAAATCCTGCAAAAACCTTTTAACCCATTAAACTGAGAAGAAAAGCTATGTGAGCACAGCACACGTTCATTTTCACACTTAGTCAACCACAAGACAATAAACATGCACTTGAGATTTAAATGACCTCCCTTCCCCCGCATAAGCACACACAGGCCAAACAGACGTACAGCTGACAAATGTTGTGTGTGTGTGTGTGTGTGTGTGTGTGTGTCATGGAGCAGACAGCCTGCCGGCTTGGCCACTCTGTGTTTGCTAGACACCCTTCAAACAGATCCGGCTGTGGCTACAGTTTTATCTGACTCAGAAACACTAATTTACACTCCCTGCACTCAATCCAGTCAGAAACCACTGGCCCTCGTGGGAGCTTGGAGTGTTTGCATGTAAACTGAATGTGAGTAAACGGGAACACAGTGCTCATTGTAACAAGAAGACTGCAGCACAAACACAGAGGCCAGCTGAGAGTCCTGCTCCCCTGTGGACTGTCAGACTCCTCTTTACACTGGACACCTCAGCCGTCGTTTATTTGTTAGCTGTGCCGTGTTTATGGTCAGCAGCTTTGGATGATGTACTCTGATTCTTTAATTCAAAGTACTACTACCACCGTTGAAGAAAAACTCTGAAGTGGGGTTATGAAGTGAAAAGGTGCTTAGGCAGTCACTGCTGACTTCTTAAATACTTTATATCGCATTTATTCTGATATTTGATTCACACAGTAAACATTTGAGTGCTCCAGCTGTCTAACCTAAAGTTTGACCTACATGTCTGAACCCTGAACTCTCTGTCCAAGCCCTTGGGAACCAATGGGTTCCGTCAGGCTCGGTTCAGGTATTCGTACTCTAGACAGGCCACTCCAAAGGGGTTGTGAGGTGATAAATAAGGTTGTGCCTCATGTCTCACCCAGTGATTTTGGAACTTTGCTCTAAACTTTGATTATTTTATATATACATATTATTGTGAAACTAATGAGATTTGGCTGCTCTGGGCCCTGAACACTTATTTATATGAAACCACCTGAGAAGTTTAGAGGAGAAAGGCCTTTTTCATAATTCAAAAACATTGTGTGTAGGTTTTTGTCTTAAAATTAAAATGTAGTATAATTGTAACGTAGCATAAAATACTTCAGTAGAACTTTACACAAGTACTGTACTGTGCTTGAGTTTATCTTCTATGCATGTTTTCATTTTTCCTGTAATATATGTACACTAATTGTTTTTTCAATTGAAAAAGATTTTAATTTTATTTTATTAGACCAGTTTTAATGCACCTGAGCAGTGTCTGTTGTTTTTTGTCCTATAGTCTAAATATCCATGATGCATTACGTTAACAGTGACCCTTCCCTCAGATATCGCTCCCTTCCAGACAGCCCTTGGTTTCCATGAGTTTTACAGCTCGTATCGCACCCCATTACTACGCAGCAATAACAGCTGATAGCATCTAATTCAGACATGGCACTTCCTTAATAGAAGTCCAGCATGGTTTCAGTTTCTCCAAGACATTTTTCAGTGGCTTTTTGACAGACAGGAAAAACAAATTCAGAAAGTATGAAACACTGTGGCGAAGCTTGGGAATGGCCAACACTAATATACAGTGTTCTAGAGTTTTGCTGAAACGGATTAAACATGATTTCCATGATCGATTTGGCTTAATTACTAAAAGATCCACATCCTAAAAAAGGTCATGATGCTCTAGTTTTCAGCCCTTAACGAAATTAATTTTGGTTGTGTGATCATGAAAAGGCTCTGAAAGAAAATTGTTCTCCACTGTGTGTGTCTCCAGATGTGCACACGGAGGCGGTGCAGGCAGCCCTGGCAAAGCACAAAGAGAGGAAGATGGCGGTGCCGATGCCTTCGAAGCGGCGGTCGCTGGTGGTCCAGACCTCCATGGATGCCTACACACCGCCAGGTAGCACTGGTTACTCTTCATGATTACAACAAAATTACTTTATCATACAGCAGCAATGTCTCCAACTACAACAGGCCTGTCCTGAATGTGTTGGGTTATTCAGTGCTGTGCCAGGAGGTTTCAGTTTATCCCCTGTGTGGTGTGCTGTTTGCTATGTTTGTTGCAAACAGCAGCATCACTTACTAACATGTTTGCATAAGTCTTTGCTTTATTCTTGCCATTGCCTGTGGTGACAGAGAGAGGCTCAACACAACATGAATGAAGGTTTCGATGATGGATTTAGTGGCTGCAGGGCTAAACACATCCAGGTATTTTACCAACTTGGAACCAGATCCAAAATGTTCCAGCTCTCATTCGCACTCACAAAAGTATGACTCTTTTTTGTGTGCGTTGAGAGCTGAAATGACAGTAGTGGGGCTTTAGTCACACACAGAGCATCATCTAGACATGTACAGTGAGGGTGCATTAAAATAACGCCACACATTATTTTTCTTTATCAGTATTTGTGTGCGTTGAGAGCTGAAATGACAATAGTGGGGCTTTAGTAACACACAGATCAACATGTAGACATGTACAGTGAGGGTGCATTACAATAATGCCACACATTATTTTTCTTTATCAGTTAATTTCCTGCAAAGTGCAGTAAATATCTGCTATGAGCACCCGTTGCCTTCAAAACAGCAGCAGTTCTCTGAGGTACACGAGCAGAGAGTGACTTCATGATGCTGAGATCAGGACTCTGTGGCCTCTGTTGTTGGACTCCTGGGTCTTATTGTTGCTGAACACAGTTCTGTTGTCTGGCTGGATGTCTGGGCTCATTGTCAGGCTGCAGAATGAACCTCGGGTCGATCATAGTGTCCCTGATGGTAGCAATGATGGACAAGGTGTAAACATCAGACATGCACATTTCTGTGTTTTAATCAAACGTCACTGTCAAAGGACAGAACCCAGACTGTCGGCTGGTTTTGTCATGTGATGACAGTGTATTGTGAGCATTGTCATATATCACTGCATTTTGCCTGCCTGCCTGACTGGCAGCAGTAACTAGTATGGATCAGTTGTGGTGGTTTTGATCGTGTTGGCCATGTCAGGTCCTTGAACCTGACCTAACAACGTCCTTCCACATCTGTATGATTGCTTTTTTGAAGCTGGTGGAGTGTCGCAGGAGTTACAAAAATGAAGATTCGCTCCCAACCTGCCACCTGCTCCCACGACCATCTTATGAATATTTGGCATATATAAAATGCTTGAGATGGGCATCGCTTATCTGTAAATATCCGTGGGACCCCTCACACAGTTGGTTTCACCGCTGCAGCGTGAGAAGCAGAATAGGGCCTTGGAGGGCGGCAGCGTCAGCCATCCCTGTCTTTATGGTGCTGGTGTGGTTTAATGAGGGTGTTAATGAGGAAATTATCTCTGTGGCTGCAGCTTCACAGAGCTTCACAGAAATAGGTATGATTTGTAGGAATTACACAAAGAGGAGCTGTACAGCGACCGGAGAGTAAATATAAACGACGATTTATTGGGTCATTACATCAGAGCACAGAGACTCTGCTGCCTCATGGCGATCAGAATAATTGTACATTTATATTCCTATATGATAAATATATACAGTATTGGACTAAAGTTTTACATTACCTGCATCTGTAATCCAACAGAGGAACACACCCGTGTCATTCTTTCTACAACTGAAATCAAATATAGTTGGGACAGACAGCACTGCTGCAGATGTTCCCACCGATGTGCTGCACTTGTTGCTTTACTTCCACTCTTCAGCTGGAAAGTCTGGACACTTTCCTTCTACACAGCCTGGAGGTTTTTGGTTCTGACTTCCTCCGTTCATGGCCTTTTTCCAAACGATGGTTCAACTTTCCAAACACTGCCTTTGTACAGAGAGAATCTGTTGCTGTAAGTCATCATTTTGAACTGTTAACACATTTAAACGCACTTTGAATTAGGAATTTTATCATTAGAGAAACCTGACTCCATGTTGTTTGCCATAGTGAAGATTCTGAGGTAGCCTCACCTAAGTGCAGAAATGTCAGCAGCCCCGTGTGGAAGCCATGCTCGGCTCTCACTCTGGTTGACTCTCAGATGTGTGTAGTAGGTGGGACATCCTGGTAGGAGGCATGTTGTTACTCTTCAGATGCAGAAAACACAGACTGAATTGACACATTGTTTACACCAGCTGAGCACACAGTACAGTGGTGTGTCCATATCCAAAATACAACCTCGTTAGTTTTATTTCATTGCATTGTGCAGTGTCTCTGTCCACCTGACAGAAATACCTTCTCTTTGTTTGGACAGTTGTAGGTCTTTCCCCATTCTTCTCTGTGGCTGTTATTGCCACTGCACCTGTGTGTGTGTGTGTGTGTGTGAGAGAGAGAGAGAACACTGGGACCGCGTGGGTTG